GTCTGCCACTTGAACCACGACAGCTGGGCAGTGAGCCAAGGCCTTGGTGCCCAGCTGAGGAGCTGATGTCCCTGAGAACCCAAACATCCCAGAGGAGTGTCTGAGAACACATCAAAACAACAAGCAAACAAACAGTTTCATTGCTCAAACATACAACAGGCAAAGAACCAGAAAATCAGCTTAAAAGCAGCTTAGAGATGGGAGGTGGCACAGATCTCTAGAGCGGTCTTGCTGCCGCCCAGGAGTGCCCTGTATGTGAGTCCCAATAAACTCATGTACTCACCAAACTGGACTTGTCTAAGCCATTCTTAAGTCTTTCAGCTGCCTCCCGGTTCTGGCGGTGGGCAGGGGTTTGTAGGGGTGGCGCAGGACACATGTTACAGTCCCAGGTTTTTCTCATAACACTTATTAGGAGGCAGCATCCTGTGGCTTCAAAGGAGACATTTCCGGTGTGACCAGGAAATTGTGTAGTTCTTAGGAGCTGCTATATGAATGCATTCATAATAGCAAATTTTGCTGGGTACAGTGGCTCACACCTGTAATCCCAGTACTTTGGGAAACCAAAGCGGGGGAGGATCACAAGGTTAGGAGTTCGAGACCAGCCTGGCCAACATGGTGAAACCCCATCTCTACTAAAAATACAAAAAATTAGCTGGGCATAGGTGCCTGTAATCCCAGCTACCCGGGAGGCTGAGGTAGAAAAATCACTTGAACCCAGGAGGTGGAGGTTGCAGTGAGCCGAGATGGCGCCAAGGCACTTTAGCCTTGGCAACAGAGTGAGACTCTGTCTCAAATAAGAAAGAAAGAAAGAAAGAGGGAGGGAGGGAGAGAGGGAGGGAGGGAGGGAGAGAGGGAAGGCAGGCAGGCACATTTTTACTAAAAGCGTTGGTGGTACCAATATAAATAACAATGGCAACCATTTATCACACACAGATGTCAGGCACTGGATAAGAACTCTCCTTTCTCACAAGGACCCTGCCTATTTACCAGTGAGGAAACATTTAAGTTGTATTCCAAAGGATATACCCTTAGTGTCAGCCCTGAGACTGGAATGGCTCTGATTCTGATAGCCTTCCATTACACAGAGCTGTTCCAAGTCAGAGAGTGAGTGATAGCACAGGGATTGGGCTGGGCATGGTTAGGGGCCTTTGCATCATGTCTCCTTCCTTCTCAAAGGCTTATCCACAAGGGCTGTCCTTTAACCAGGGGCTGATTGGAACCCCTCAGCCTCTCATTCAAATGGTCCACCTCAAATGCATTCTGTGTTTTACAGGGTCCGTATTTAGAATGTGTAAGGAGCAGGATGGCTATGAGAAGGAAGCATATACAGTATCAGGAGAGTTACAAAGAAATGTAATTTCTTTCTGCATTGGGGAATATTTTTAAGTTTTCAAAAGCTGTGGTCTCAGAAATCACGCCTGCAAGGCAAAGCATAAAACACCCTTCTCCACCATAACTCTGTGTGAATGTTGCCATTGGTATGGGCTGATGGGTAGGAGTGTGGGTTCTGGAAGCAAATTCCCAGGGCTTGAAAGGCAGCCATGCTCCCTCGCTGGCTGTGTGTGTCCTTCCACACATTTCTCATCTGAACATGGTAATAGCATCTACCTCCTATTTGTTGTGTGCAGTGAGACAAATCATGTGCGCAAAGTTATTTAGCACAGTGAAGCATAAGCAGAAAGGATTCAAATGATATTACCACCATGATAAAGTTTAGATATTTGTCTTCGCCCAAATCTCAGGTTGAAATATTATCCCCAGTGTTGGAGATGGGGCCCGGTGGGTAGAATCTGGGTCATGGGGGCGGATCCTTCATAAATGGCTTGGGCCAACCCCTTGGAGATAAGGGAGCTCTCGGGTTCTGAGTTCACGTGAAATCTGGTCATTAAAATGTACGTGGCACCACCCTACCACTCTCTCTCCCTCTTGCTCCTGCTTTCAACATAAGACATGCCTGTTTCCTCTCGCCCTCCATCATGATTGAAAGCTCCCTGAGGCTTCACCAAAGCCAGGCAGATGCCAGCACCATGCTTCCTGTACAGCCTGCAGAACCATGAGCCAATTAAACTCTTTTCTTTATAAATTACCCAGTCTCCGGTATTTCTTTAGAGCAGTGCAAGAATCGCCGAATACACATCATCAGCTGCTTAATGCTATTGGCTTAATTTCAGTGTCTTATATATCAAACCAGCTAACATTTTATTGTATTTATTTAAAGTCTGATAATATGATAAGCTCTGATAAAGGCGATAGTCCTTGAAATAGAGGCAATTGAAAAAAATCCGACGAAATAGTATTAAACTAACAAACCGCCCATTGTATCCAAATAATCAGCTGTCATCCTGTGAAATGGGAAGAGCAGATTGGCTCATCACTTTGGAAAACTGAATGGCATTATATACCAAAAGCTATTTATTGGCCTTTTGGACATACTCCTTGTGAGCTGCTTGTTTGTTTTAAGGCATTAGAAAGAGAATTACAAGATGGGCAAATAAAGCAGGAAGAGAAACATTAGTAGAGATAAAAGCCAAAATTAGTAAAATATGAATATAGATCAGAAAAAAATATAAACAAACTAAAAGCTAGTTCTTTCAAAACTCCTAGAAAGCTAAGAACATCTCATTAATATTTTTTAATATATGAGAGAGAAAGAGAGAGCAGAAGAGAGAAAAAGAGAAAGAGAGAAGAATAGAGAGAGAGAGAAATATGACCAAGATTGTGAACAGGAAAAGAAATTAAATAACATAAGAGACCAGGCACGGTGGTTCACGGCTGTAATCGCAGTACTTTGGGAGGCCCAGGTGGGTGGATCACCTGAGGTCTGGAGTTTGGGACCAGCCTGGCCAACATGGTGAAACCCCATCTCTACTAAAAATACAAAAATTAGCCACGTTGGTTGTGCACAACTGTAATCCCAGCTACTTGGGAGGCTGAGGCGGGAGATTCGCTTGAATCTAGGGGGCAGAGTTTGCAGTGAGCCGAGATCGTGCCACTGCACTGCAGCCTGGGTGACAGCCAGACTCCGTCTCAAAAAAAAAAAAAAAAAAAAAAATCATAGCAAATGAATATTAGAATGAAACAGGCTAATAAATTCAGAAACATATCCCCACACAATTGGATACTTGATTTACAATCATGATGGTGCTGGTGGGAAACCGGGAAGGATAGTGTCTTCAATAAACGGTGCTGGGTCTACCAGCTACCATAAGGAAAAAATGACTCTTGACCCCTCTCTGGTACTAGGTATAAAATTAACTCGAGATGGTTTGCAGAAATAAATGTGAAACACAAAACAATAAAGCTTCTACAAGATAATCTAGAAGAAAATCTTCATGACCTTGGAATAGGCAGAGATTTCTTAAACAAGTTACAAAAAGCTCCAAGTATAGAGAAAAGGATTAATAAAAATTAAAAGTAATAACTGCTCATTGAAAAACATCATTAAGACAGTGAAAAGCAAAGTATAGAGTAGATGAGATTTGGTGATACATAGAACTAGTTTGCACCCATGATGCATACGGAATTACCTACAAATCAAAAAGAGAAAGACAAATACCCCAATAGAAAAGATGAATGAAAGACAAAATATACATGTTATTTATTTATTTATTTATTTATTTTGCCAGGACATGTTCTTATCTAATATATATATATATATTTTTTTTTTTAATGTAGAGACAGGGTCTCTTTTTGTTGCCCAGGCTGGTCTTGAACTCCTGGCCTCAAGTAGTACTCCCAGTTCAGCCTCCCAAAGTGCTGAGATTACAGGCATGAACCACCACACCTGCCCTAAAATGTATATGATTGATGACAAAGAAAGTGGGGAAGAGGACGAATGTCTCTTCTGAGCAAACACGACTCTAGCAAGTTTTCCTAGCTTCGAGCTGCGAAGATACTGAGTGGCAGCACATTTTCCCTGGAGGAGCATGGCAGAAAGGCCGCTGGAATACAGAAACTAAAGTTACGGAGATCTGATCGCAGACTGAGTGAAAACGAATGTGTTGGGCTGAGTCAGGTGGGTTATGAAAAGTAGAGCAGACATTTGGCCTCAGAGAAGGACAGCTGCAGCCCTTAACTCACCCAGTGTCAAAATTAAAGCGGCCTCCATAATAGATGCTTCAGGGGAGTGGCATGCGCAGAAGAGGAAAGTGAAGACTCCTCTGCATCTGACACTTGTTAACTGCGTTCAGAAACCAGCCATCTGTGCTACAGCGGTATCTGTTTCCTGCCTGGTACAGCAGCCGTGACCAGTTTTCTCTTTACCTAAGACTCCTGTGTAGCAAGATTTGATATTCTTTAACACTTCAGCTGAAGCTTCATTGCAAAGAAATCATCTACCCAGTCCAACCACTGATGGAATGGCTCAGGCGCAACACTTACCTACGATTCCAGAAGGACGTCTTCAGCACTGACTGACGGATAGACTACTGACAGACATTTCATGCGGTTATCTCACCTAACGGGTGGTGTCGACTGCGTTTCCCTACCAAAAATGAGGAAACTAGGCTGGGCAGGGTGGCTCAGGCCTGTAATGCCAGCATTTTGGGAGGTCAAGGCAGGTGGATTGCTTGAGCTCAGGAGTTTAAGACCAGCCCGAGCAACGTGGCAAAACCCCATCTCTACTAAAAATAAAAAAATTAGCCTGGGCTGGTGGTGCACATGCCTGTAGTCCTAGCTACTTGGGAGGCTGAGATGAGAGGATGGCTTGAGCCCAGGAGGTGGAGGTTGCAGCAAGCCGAAATCATGCCACTGCACTTCAGCCTGGGTGACAGAACCAGACCCTGTCTCAAAATAAATAAATAAATTATAAAAAATGAGGAAACTGAAGCCGAGGACTTAAATGACTAATGTAGAGACAACGTAAGAAGTGGAAGAAGGAGTGCTATACTCTGAGGTTTTCTTGGTCCAAGTTCTGGACTCTTTCCATGCTACCGCAGTGAGTGAGTAGGAGTTTAAGGGTGAGGGGTGAGTACATTGAAGTAACGCCAGAAATCACGTACCTGAAATACCAAAGCCAATGATGAGTGCAATTGCTCCAGCCAGAATAATGATGATGCTAATTATGCTATGGGAAGAGAGAGAGAAACAGGAAATCACTTCTCCATTCTTTCTGATGCGCTGCTTTGCAACTGGGGTACAAATCTGTCGTGGGTAAGACACATTACATAAAGCATCTCAACTTTTTCTTTCACATAAGCTTCTTCCTAGAAATAAGTACCTTAGAAAGGAATTTCAGCAATTGCATCCCCCGGGGCTCTGCGATCAATGAAAAGAATGACCCTCACCTCTGGCTGTGCCATATACTTTCCACAGATCAGGGAACACCATGTACCAAGACTGCTGGGGCAAGACTGATGGAAACACCTCTGTAAGGCCAGATGCCACCTGAGAAGGACTGGTCCCGGTCTCAGCCTTCCCTGAGCATCACTGTCCACACTCCTGTGTCATTTGTCTCCCTATCTTGTCTCCTTCCATAGACTTTAAACTCCGCTAAGGACAACAGCCACGCCTTCACTTTGTACCCACACACACCTCATCTACTGCATCCACATGCCCTCAGTGGAGGTCTGTTTTCTCTTATTTAAAAAAAATACATATTTAGGCCGGGCGCGGTGGCTCACACCTGTAATCCCAGCACTTTGGGAGGCCGAGGCGGGTGGATCACGAGGTCAAGAGATCGAGACCATCTTCGTCAACATGGTGAAACCCCGTCTCTACTAAAAATACAAAAAATTAGCTGGGCATGGTGGCGCGTGCCTGTAATCCCAGCTACTCAGGAGGCTGAGGCAGGAGAATTGCCTGAACCCAGGAGGCGGAGGTTGCGGTGAGCCGAGATCGCGCCATTGCACTCCAGCCTGGGTAATAACAGCGAAACTCTGTCTCAAAAAAAAAAAAATACATATTTACTACAGGAAGTTTAGAAAATATAAAGAAGCAAAAAATTAGACAAATAAATCACCTGTAATCCTATCATCCAAACACAATCACTGTGTTTTGATATGATCCTCACCAATTTTTATTTTATTTTATTTTACTTTAAATTCTAGGATACATGTGCAAACGTGCAGGCTTGTTGCATAGGTATAATTGTGCCATGATGGTTTGCTGCACCCATCAACCCATCATCTAGGTTTTAAGCCCCACATGCATTAAGTATTTGTCCTTATGCTCTCCCTCTCCTTGCCCCCCACCCCCTGACAGGCCCAGGAGTGTGATGTTCTCCTCCCTGTATATATGTATTCTCATTGTTTAACTCTCATTAATGAGGGAAAACATGCAATGTTTGGTTTTCTGTTCCTGTGTAAGTTTGCTGAGATTGATGGTTTCCAGCTTAATCCATGCCCCTGTAAAGAACATGAACTCATTCTTTCTTACGGCTGCATAGTACTTCATGGTGTATGTGTGCTACATTTTCTTTATCCAGTCTATCATTCATGGGCATTTTGGTTGGTTCTAAGTCTTTGCTATTGTAAATAGTGTTGCCATAAACATACATGTGCATGTGTCTCTATAGTAGAATGATTTATAATCCTCTGGGTATATACCTAGTAATGGGATTACTGGGTCAAATGGTGTTTCTGGTTCTAGATTCTTGAGGAATCGCACGCTGTCTTCCTCAATGGTTGAACTACTTCACACTCCCACCCACAGTGTAAATGCGTTCCTGTTTCTCCACATCCTCTCCAGTATCTGTTGTTTCCTGACTTTTTAATGATTGCCATTCTAACTGGTGGCTCCTCACAGATTTTTAATGAACAGATTAATAAATGACACCTGGGGAACTAGATAAACAAATAAGGAAGTATTGCTTACATATACTAAGTCCTAGTTATATGGCAGACATATTGTTCCAAGCAGCATTTATAACTTAAATCAATTATCCATTTAGTCACCTTAGGAGGAGAATAAATTTTATTGTCTCCATTTTATAGATGAGCAAGTGACACAGGGAGATTAAGCATCTTCCCTGGAGTCCCACAGTTGGCAAGTGGCAGAGCGGAGGTTAGAATTCATCTCTTAAATCTGTACCCAACTCCCCCCAAGTGTACTAAGGGTAGGAGCTCACGAATGGGGAGTGCCCCTTTTCTCTGCCAAGGAGAACATGCACTCCATGGGGTTCACCCACTTTAGCTGGTGAGAGTGACTCAGTCAGAGCAGAAGGCATAGGTCAAAGTGGTTTCTGGGAAGCTTGCCCATTGCCGCCTGTCCTGGCACATACATCATCGGGCAGACGTCCTCAGCCGCCCTTTCACACAGCTGCCAATTCACACGCTCCCAACGCCCACGCTGATGTTACTCAATAGGCAGGACAAAAGAAAGGCACGGGGAGGCAGGTGCTTCAGAGAGAAAAATGAAGCACGAGATACTGCACTTTCTGCCCTGAACAGGCTCATTGTATCCTGCCCGCCTTGGCTCAGGAATGGGCCCACCAGACAGAAACAACAGTTCCCCTGCAGGCCAAGCCCTCATGAGGTGCAGCCACAGGGCAGCAAGCGAAGCTTGAAATAATAGAGCATCTGCTCAGTTGATTCCAAGGGGAGAGCACATTTGGCCACTGCTCCTCTTTTTCCACACCTCAGTGCAGCCTCAGTTCTTGCTGGTCCAAGAGAGTGAGAACAGCTACACAAAGTCATAGCAAGACGCACCACCCAGCTGTCTCTGACTACGAGCCAGGCACCCACCTTGCGTGGGACCTAGGGTTTTCATTTACTTTCGGTAAGTTACTTCATCTCTCTGAGGCTGGTTTTCTTTTTCTGTAAAATGGGAAAAAGAGTAATTCTTGCTTTACCTATCACAAAGGTGATGTGTACTCCCTCCCACAGACATTCACATGCAGAAGTCCTAACCCCCAGTACCTCAGAGTGTGCCTGTACTTACTAATAAAGACATTGCAGATGTAATTAGTTAAGGTCATTCTAGAGTAGGGGAGGGGTGAGTTGCTAATCCAGTATGGGTGGCGGTGTTCTTATAGAAAGAATTTGGACACAGATGAACACACACAGACACACACACACACACACACGGACGGAGAACACCATGTGAAGTTAAAAGCAGAGATCTACAAGTCAAGGAACACCAAAAGTTGCCAGCAATCCTCCAGAAGCTAGGAGAGAGACGCAACGTATTCTGTCTCACAAGTAACACATCCTGCAGACATGTGCATCCGGCCTCCAGCCTGCAGCGCTGTGAGATAATACAGTTCCATTTGTTACACAGCACCAGCAAGCTAATACAAAAGGGTCGTTTCAGGATCAAATTAGATGATGAATGTGGCATTATTCATAAAGGGCTATTCATTTATACACTGCTTTTTACTATACATACATTTTACCTGTAAGCTATTGCTGTGTGTTTATTATTCAAATAAACTTTTTATGGGACTTTTATGGGAAGGGACCTGAACGGTGACACTGAACAGACACCTGGGCACTGGCCAAGAAGAGGAAGACATTGGAAGTTGTGCATTTCAGTCAAAGCTCCCGAGCCCTCCAACACACCAGGCCTACGTTTCCCTCGCTGTGAAAACAGAACTCTGTCATCTGTCACCAAATTCCGTATTGGAGCAGGAATCACCTTGAGGTTTGTTCTGAACTAGTATCCCCTTGAGAAAGTATTCAACTTCCAGAGCCTTGGAAAGAGAAGCAGGAACTATCAGAGCACGAATGAAATAATGCCTGTCTGTTGCTTATGAACTTTTTAGAGAGATGAATAAAATACTTCACTTCGGGTGTTCTGACATTGCTTTCTGATCTTGCTTCCCCCTCAATGATTTGCAGTAACTATGCTACAGGAAATTTTTAATGCAAAACTCTGTCTCCTAACTACTGCGCTGGGATTCACGGTGTACTTCGGTATCCACTTATTATGAAAGGGCCCAAATAAAAATAAATGTTTTTGGAGGGCTTGCTCATTTAGTAAAGATTTATTAAGTACTTACCATGTGAAATAGTGCTAGTCAATATGAAGGGAATGTAGAAATAATGGAAACAAAGTCCCTGCCCTCAAGAAGCTTTTAGTTAAATTGCGGTGACACCCAAATACACACCTTTGAAATGAACTGAGACAGAACGTGGTCAGGGCTTTAGTAAAGACAGGAACAAAATTTCACAGAAACTCTAGGGACGCAGGAAGAGTTTAAACTCAGGGGAAACAGAGAGAATCAAAGTACACCTCCATAAACAAATTTCAAAGAAAGTGAAGAGAAAGAAAGGCTTTATTCAGAAATATATTTAGCCGGCCCATGCTGCTACACACCCTGTCCAGGGCAGAAACACAAAGAAAGGGGTAATTTCTGCCGCGCTGGGGGTGCAGGGCGTCAGGGACTAAGCAGCGCTCTTCCGGGCTCCGAGCAGTGGGCTGGGAAGGTGCCTTCGGAAGCGGCAGGACTCAGAGCCCTCCAGGGGAAGCAGCAGCTTTGCAGCCTGGAAATCCGCCCCGCTCCCCGAGGAGGGCCTGGTTCGGTCCCTCCACGTGTCTGCCTCGGCTGCTGCTGCTGCCTTCTGCAGCACTTGGAAGAATCTGCGCATCTGGTAAAGCATAACACGTGCACTCCCGAAAGGTCTCACATTCTGTCACATTCTGCAATTACGGTACAGGCGTTATGGGAAGAACCGGGGTGAAAGGCAGACTGCTGGAACCTGCGCGACTTTACCATGAGCCGACTAACAGAAACAACTATGGGTACCTCGGGAGATAACTCGGACAGGCAAGGCGGGCCGCTCGGGAGGTCCAGACCCTACCTCAGGGGATATACAAAATGCGCAAATACAATCAAACGAACACTCTGGCGTCTGGGTGCCGCGAGCAGCGTGGCTGCTGTGAAGGTGGGTGCAGCGGAAGCGCCACCTGGGACATGCCAGGGTGGGCTGTACTTCTCCGGAGAGGGAGCCCCAAGTGCGGATGTTCATTCAAAGCAAATGTGCTTGATGAAATAAAAGCAGAACTGAAAGCCACGCTAAGCCTTTGCCGCTGATGTCCTCATTCTATTCTGCTATTTCAACCCTCCTCGCTTTGAAAAATGCGCATGTGAAGCGTCGCAACTCCCGTGTTGTACCGCCATCATTC